TGCTTCATGAGAGAATTGCAAACTTTCTTCTTGTCACCCCTTCCCTGCCACTTGACTATTGTGTGGCAATAAAGTTTGCAAATACTCATTAAGTAGGTTGATTGCCCAAGAAAACACTTAAAACAATATGTCAGTCAGTTCAGCTTTCATGGTGCTTTGCAAGTAGTGAGCACTGGGATACAAATGTGAGACTGTTCTGCCTTCCTAGATCTCAAGCATTTTCATCTTGAAAATGATGATCAGATGTATACTTTGACATATATTGTAGGTGGTGATGGAGTAAATATAAGGTGCTAATGGGAACAATTTGGAACATCAGATCAGGTTGGGATTGAGAGGGTGGGTAGTAGACTGACTTCTGTTTAAAAGTTATTCTCTTCATAGGTATTTATATAGTTCAAAACTCAAAATACATAAAAGAGTAAAATTGAAAGCCTCTCTGCCACCTCTGTCCTCCAACCACCCAGTTTCTTTCTGTCCTTAGAAGTAACCCGTTATTATTACTTGTACATTCTTTTGAGGCTAACTCTCGAACTAAATCTTAAAATGGTCATTCAGATTAGGTCACTGCATAGCTTTCCATGCAGAGGTAGAAGGCAGTTTGTATAATGATGTGAAAGAGTGAGAATGTATCATTTGGAAAATGGTATTAATTTGACAGGAGCCAGAGTGAAGGACTTAAATGTCATGATAAGAAATTTAGATTTTTATAGTAAGTTGCTATTGAAGGTTTCTGGAAGCTTTTGTTAAAATATATCTTGAAACAATTTCGATATCCTTTTAGTGATTGTCGCTTGTTAAATTATAATGCTATGATAAAGCTGTGTTAAGGGAATACCTTGGGAGCACTGAGCCCCAAAAATCAGAATTCTTATCTAATGAAATGTGCTAAATATTTTGGTACACGTAGCTCCAAGTTTAAGTATTCTGTTTGTCTCAATATTACCTTGATAATGACAGAACACTTGGTACTTGTTGAGATACTCTTAACAAAATTTGATTTATAGTCAGCATAATTTGAAAACTGTTAACATGCTATATTAAACACAAAGCAAGCTTAGTTGTGTCAGGCCCTATGTATATAGACTTTCATTTGATCTCTTCAACAATTTGTAAGAAAGTGGTCTCTTCCCCCTTTCTTATGGATTAAGAAAACTGAGACTCTTAGAGTTGGAGTCATCTAGGTATTTGGTGACAGAGTATAGACTCATATTCAGACTTTTAATCCCAAAGCCAGTGCTTTTGAATATTCCCAAAGTTAGAAGTTTGTTTTATTACTTGGCAGAAAATAGGTTAAGAGGAAGGAAGGGCTACCATAGTATAGCCACTGATTTGTTATTTTATAACCCCTTACCTAAAGGATATTTTTAATCATTTAAATTCCACAGATAATAGTACTGGAGATGGTGCTTGTTGATTTTCTGCTTATTGTATTTCGCTGGTTTCTATTTAGGGATCTCTGAAGTCGAATTTTGGCATAGATAAGAGAAAGAGGTGTTTGTTGAGTGCTGGAAGTACCTTATGCTTTAAGCTTTGACAATTTTTGTAGCTTAGTTTTGATGTATGGAATGTTTGTGTTTTATTCTCCCTGTTGTACTTAGTTACGCTACAAAGACAGTATCTTGCTAAAACAGGTAGACATGCCACATGCATTGAGTCATTTTCTGATGTAGCTCATATTTGAAAATGTGATGGAATATTGACTATATAAAGTAGGGAGAAAAGAATGTATTTTGTTCAGTGATTTTGAAGAATGTTTACAAATAGGAAAACAGCAATTTTGTTTAGGTGGCTGAAGTAAAGTGTAAACTACATCTCAGTCTTCCTAAAATTGCTTCATTGGCTCTATATTTAGAATGGTAATTTATATTAATATCAAATAAACTATTAGAAAGCTGGTTTCAAATTTTACTTCTTGAGTGGAAGAGAATTTGTGACCACAGCTGCATAAAAGTCAGCATTTCCTTCTAATAAATTTTTAATTTCAGTTGTCTCTTCATGCTTTCAGGTTTCATAGACTGTAACATTGAAATGATCCCATTAATAGCCTTTTCTGTGGGCTCTTAATCTCCTCAATTTTATGCCATTCCAAAATTGAAGTCTCTCTGATGATCAAGCCCTTCAATATTTACAACTGGCTCTTTTCCCTTATACTTCCTTGATCAGTGATTTCACAGACTTGACTCCCTTAATCTATACCTGTTAATCAGTGTGTGGAGACTAATTATTGTTTCTGTTTGCTACAAATTCTTCAGTTTATGTATAACATCCCAGTTGAAGTATCCCAGAAACAAAATTTCATAGCTTATAAGACTGTCTAAATTTTTATCCTTAAAATCTAGACTGTTTGAAGTTTTATATAGTACATAGATTGTATAGCTATGTACTATAAAAACTATGTACTGTGGCTTCTTCACTTTGAATGTACGTAGAAAGAGTGATTGTTCATAGTCAGCTTTTGCAAATTAAGTGTATTCTAATATGTTCTAAAAACTTAGGTCCATTTATACAGTATTTTATTTCACAGGTTCTTTCCACATCTCAGTGTTTACTACTGCTATCTACAAATACGTTCTTTTTTTACTTTTACATTTTACTTAAGAGAAATATTTCACTATTTTGTAAAACTGCTGGAATTTTATAACTGAAGTCATATGCCTTCATTTGGAACCAATTTACTTGGAATATGAATTTGATTTAAATTAAATATTTACATTTCCAAAGTCAGAGGATCTAAAGTTCTTTTAAAGAGGCCAGATGTATTGGCTCATGCCTGTAATCCCAGCACTTTGGGAGGCCAAGGCGTGCAGATCACCTGAGGTCAGGAGTGTGAGATCCAGCCTGGACCAACATGGTGAAACCCCATCTCTACTAAAAATACAAAAAATTAGCAGGCACCTGTAATCCCAGATACTCAGGAGGCTGAGGTGGGAGAATCATTTGAACCCAGGAGGCAGAGGTTGCAGTGAGCTGAGATCATGCCATTGCACTCCAGCCTGGGCAACAACAGTGAAACTCGTCTTCAAAAAAAATAATAAAAAATAATAATGAAGTTCTTTTAAAGAATATCATCCTTATAAATATATTGCGAGTACTCTTTAATGAATTTTTAATTCTAGACTTGCAGAATAACTTCCAAGTATACTCTCTCTTATTCTCTTGTATATACTACCTTCCTCTTTGAGTCACTCCATTTAAACTAGAGGTCTCCAAACAGACCTTTGAGGATAGTAAACTAGTTCCCATGTGTTCCTGGGCAAGCCTGTTTTTGTTTTGTTTTTTTTTTTAAACAAAAAGAAACAACAAAAAAAACCTAAGTTGAATGTTCAATTAGTTCAGTTGGTTTTCATTTGATTTGGCAGACTGATTTCTAAATACAATGAGAAAAGTGCCCTGACAGATACATCTTAAGAGGATGTAAGCTGTTAAATAAACAGTAGTTAGAAGCCTCTTAAGCTTTTCTTGTTATTAGCAGGTCTAATCAGTGCCTTTGATTGCCTTAGACCTAGTTAGGAGAAAAATGGAGAAAGGGTTAAAAGAATAGCAAGGAGTTGAAGTAGGGCAAACAATGAGAAATATACGTATTAGATTCCTAATTAATCAAATAGTTACTTTGGTGGTTCTCTGGCATCTTGGAAGTCATTTTTTTTATTGTACTGTTAATTCTGCACAGACGTTTAAGACTACCCCATAATTGCCATATTGTATCTGAACCTGATTTTGTACATGAAAATAATAGCTATTGAGCATTCACTGTATGCCAGGAACTTTACATATAGTCTCAATTTTTCAGCCATCCTTCAAGGCTAGGTAGTAATATAACCATTTAATGGATAAAGAGACAGAACTAAAGAGGTCAGAATTTAACACTGCTATGTGTTTAGCGTAATGGTATAAGAGCATAAACTCTGGAACTAGATTGCCACCTACTAACTCAGTGATGTAAGGCAAGTTCTTCTGTCTGGCCCAGTTTTCTCATCTATGAGATGGGAATAATAATGTTGCCTACCTCTTAGGTAGGGCTGTTGTCATAATTTAGTTGATGAGTGTAAAGCACTTAGAATAGTGTGTGATACATAATAAACAAACATATTCTTAACTGCTGCTGTTCTGCTACAGCATGTGTTAAGAATTTTAAAAGTTATGTGGCAAAGTTTTTGTTAGCTCCCAGGTATACAGGCTGGACTGGAGGTAGGGGAGACCAAGAAGTGTGCTGAGGTTCCCCGTGGAACCAGTCCCTAGATACGAGGTGTATCATACTTACTGAGATAGTCCAGAAGAGCCCGTCAGTTAAGATTCTATGGTGATAGCCCTAGAGAATGGTAGAAATGAAAGATAATTATGATAAATAGGCTTTTACCCCTTAAAGTGGCACTGTACCAGTGCTAGGATTAGAAAGCTGCCAAACAATTCTAGAAAGACCAGAAAAAAACACATAAAAATAATGGATTTTGAAGGTAGAAATGTGTGAAGTCCAACCCAGGAAAGAACTCTTCATTGTTAATTATGAAACCCTTGCTACTTTTAACAGAGCCTAAGAAAAGTTTTTACATTGTGAAGATAGTAGTGTAACTTACTTTATATGAATACACTACCTAAGAACAGCCTTGTTAAACTGCTAAACAAGGTAGATATATATAAAGGCATTTGGTACAGAATAGTGTTGATTAGGCTATGAATTAGTCATATTTATATGCACACACACACACACACACACACACACACAAAATTGGATGCTACTTAGTATTTAGTTTGCTCTGCATTACCTGTTTATTTGAAAACTGTGATTCTGAATTATTGTTGAGATCTGCTAGATTTTGTCCAGTTTTTAATTTCTTTCAAAGTGTTGTTTTAAGCAAACTTACATGGTTTTTTAATCTTTTTATTATTAAAACAGTTACAGTGTATTAGAAATCTAAAATATTCCATCTTCTTTTGAAAAGTAGTGATTTTACTGTACATTCTCAACCTCATTTCCATTTGATTCTCGGATCTCACAGGAATCCTTCAACTGCTTTCTACCAAGCGTTCCATTTGAACACGTTTCAGGAATCAAAGAGCCTCTGGGATAGGTATGAATACTTACATAAGGAATGCATACATGCAAAACTGTATGCATGAATTGCTTTGCACTGTACTGGTTTCTCGTCATTAAAACTGATCTTTGTTATTTTAGGGGGGGACTCACATGGTATCTAGCATGGGACAAAGCAGCAAAATAAACCAAAAGGACAATCTATATAGAAAATAAACATACTTTTCTTTTTTCTGCATCCTGTGTACTTTAAGTATTTCTGTATTTTTGAAGGGTTCACATATTGTGTTGAATTTTTGATATGAAATAGTCACTTTCCCCAGTGTATTTTAATGCAAATGCATCTATAAAATAAACTATCTACAGTTACTTTAATTTTTGTGCTATTTTATGTTTTTTCTATAAAAGCCATAGTGATTGAAAGCAAAATGGTATTTCAAATTATGAAATTGGAGGAGGAACAAGACCAAGGTATCAAAGTAATTGTTGTTTAATTTTTGGCAAGAAACTTTAACTTCAAATTTGTTTGCTAGATCTCACTAGGTCTACATTACTGATTCGTAAGCGCCTACAACAGTTTGCTTTCTTACAGAAATGCTATACAGATTTTATTGTTAACTCTTAAAAATACAAAATGAAGTCTTGGAGATCTTTTATGGCAAAAGATACTTTGGTTTATCTTTCTGCTTAACACGTTTTAAGTAGTGTATGCTCTGTTCAATCATTTTGCTGAATATTTGTTAGCACTCCATCATTTTATGTTTAATTAATAGAAGTTGAGCTCAAACAGTGTTTTTTAAATTCACACAAAGCTTGTTAGATTCTTTTAACTCTGCCTGGCAACGCGTTTGTGTCTTCTGACATAGTTTTGGATAACACTCATGATCTCAACTCCGTCTCTTTCATTAGAAAAGAGTATTGCTAAGTGCATGTACATGTCATATTAAGACATGATACACATTGCCTAGAAATGCTAAAACAGTCTTAATTCTTCGGCTTGATTTGCTTGTGTGTGTCACTCTAGGGAAATTTTCTAACAGTATCTTTTTGATGGTATGTTCCAGAAATGTTTTTAAAGAGTTACTTTTAGAACAGGAAGTTTTAAATTTTGTAATACCGTGTTTATAAAACAAATTTTTTAAAAGTTCTCTAGCCATTTAAATTAATACATAAATGTAAATTGTGACATGAAAATAAATATGAAGGTTTAATCATTCAAATAGTTTTCCAAATGAAGCCAAAATGTGAGTACTTTGGGGTATGCTTTATAGTTTCCCTTAGAAAAAGGAAAAATAGCCCTGTATTTAGAAATGTAGTAAGAGTAGTTTTCAAATGTATGATAATTTATTTCACACAGCTAATTTGTGAGCTGTCATGGTGTCGATATGAATGATACATTTTTTATCAGCGTAGAAAGGTTTGAGTTATATTTTTAATAATTTGAATCTAGTATTAAAAGGTTTCTTTTGTTTCATAATAAAACAACTATAGAAGTTGCCAGAACATCATTTGTTGTTACAGCTAAATGCTCCTTATCTGTTTTCTTTTTTTAGATACCAGAAACTTTTAAGGTATCAGAAATGAGGCAAGTTGCTGTATCTATAGTTTCTCATGGGTTGAAAATATTTTCTCTTCTCCTTGGAGCCTGTTGTCCAGAGCCAAAGAAGTTAGTGGATATTTATCTGCAGTGTGTTAATGCCAAAATATAATTAAATGTAATCAAAATATCAGATTAGCCATTCTTCATTGTAAATTGGCATTGCTGGTACTAAGGTGACAAGCCCAACCTAATAGAAACTGACTAGTGGCTTCCTTTAACTTTTCAACTAGCTTATTAAATTTTCCATTGAAAGGAGCAGTCATAGCTAACTTTATTAGTTTTAATAATCTATACTTTTCAGTTGGCAAATATCTACAGAATTATTGACAGGTATATCAGCTAATAAAGTATCGTGAGACCATTTATTCCTTGCAAACGGGTTGAAGATTTGTGTGTGTTAAGCTATAAAAAATATTAAATATAACTTCTGACCTTGTTTGTTTTGGACATCACCAAATTACATTGTTCATTTTTTACTGTTATAAATTTAGGATTTTTTTTACTTTACTACAAATTTGGCAAATAGATGTTTGCAGGAATATTCTATTAAAGAGAGACATGGGCCAGTGTGGTGGCTCACAACTGTAATCCTGGCACTTTGGGAGGCCGAGACAGGTAGATCACCTGAGATCAGGAGTTTTGAGACCACCCTGCCAACATGGTGAAACCCATCTGTACTAAAACAAAAATTAGCTGGGGATGGTGGCATATCCCTGTAATCCCAGCTGCTCAGGAGGCCAAGGCAGGAGAATTGCTTGAACCTGGGAGGTGGAGGTTGCAGTGAGCCGAGATTGCATCATTGCACTCCAATCTAGGTGACAAGAGTGAAAAACTCTGTCTCAAAAAAGAGAGACATTTGGGAATTTAAGGGACTGTAAATCCCTAATTATCTTCTATATTATCTATTTATTTTGAGGCATAAATTCATCCTGCTATTGCTAGATAACAAATTTTAGGCTCCTATTTATGAAATGTTGGAAATCATTTTCAGTAGGAGCAGCTTTTAAGTGCCTGTTTTCAGTAAACCTGCCCTAAATTGCTGAATATCCCTAGTTTGATTTTCCTTAACTAGAAAGGTGGGAATCTCCTTTTTCCCCCAGGATTCTTTCAGCTTAGCAGAATATCTTTTAATCTAAATATAAGTAACTAATGTACCTTTCTCATATTGACTTAAAGTTTTTTAATGGCCCCTTTGTTTCCTTCCATATTTCAATTAGAATTAGCAAATTAATAGACTTTTCACCAAGTAGTCTGCCTCTGCTTATATTTAGATATTTTCTCCTTCCATTTATATCCAGTGCTTTACTCAGTTATTGCACTAAAATTGAAGCTACCCTCAAGCCTTCCTTTCCTTTTTTCTGTAGGTGCCATCATTGGTTTCTGTCTTCTCTGTTGGCCATTTGCTGAGTCCTCAGGGAATCAATCAGCTGAAATCATCTTCAAATGTAGGGACAGTAGATACTGATAACTCAAACATAATCCAATCCTTTCTTCAGAAGCCCAAACTGTTTTGAGTTGACTCTTTATTAAAATAAATACTATAGCTTCCATAGTTAGCTTTCTGGGAGATTATCTTACTATGGAGGAGTTAATTTTTAGTGAGATCCTAGTCTATGGCATTTCAGAATAGTAACTTTAAAATTTGACTTCCTATTTTCTAAAGAACAGTTTTCCAAAGTTAATACTTGGCATCGCTTTGTTAAATTGGCAGAATTTAACATCACTATCCTGATGATCACTGGGGAGCAGGTTCTCATTGAGAGTCCTTTGTTTACAAACGCTCAGCCTAAGAATTTATAGCAAACAATTTTACTGTCTTCTAAATACCAGGTCACTAAAGTAAAGGAGTACTAAAGGGAAGGAACTTCAGTTAGATTAAAGGAAGAAATCAGATAATTTATAAAGCTGTAACCCCATTGATAAGCACTTTCAGGGCTTTTGTCTTCATTAAGAAATGCATAAATGTAGTTGAAACAAGTGAGACAGCAGTTGCTAGATGCACCATCCCCTTGAGTCTGCTTGTCTATCCTTATGATAGCACCAGTATTTAGAGAGAAGTTAATAAGGAAAGTAGTAGACATAGTTTACTAACTTAAAATGAATGTCTAAGTAAGTTTATCCTAAATTTTTGGCTTAGATAATTGATGATCTCTTAAATTGTTTTCTACGGTGATTATTCACTTACATTTATTACCTCTAATTTTAAAATTATTGGATAAAAAAATGTGTTCTTATTTAAATAGCCTCAAGTATTTCGTGTCGGGAAAGGCTTCCAGTATTTCCTATCATTGTTCCCTGTGAGATGTTATTTTTGAAGCTAGGAATAAATTAGAACCAAGCTGTTTATATCATAAATACCATTGGTACTGTATGAGATAATTTATTTTGCTTGGCTCATCTTAAGAAGCTTGGGTCCATCGTTAACATCACCAGTAGTTGTTATCCCAAATGGTAAAACTCAGGTTGTACGACTTAGCTGATCTAGTTTTTGAATGCTTGGTGATAGGACTTGTAAAATTTTTTATTGAAGTATAATTTGTATTGGAAAAGTATACCATTAGTAAATATATAGCTCAAATTGAACACATCTATGTAGCCAGTACCCAGATCAAGACATAGAATATTATAAGCCCATTTCATGACATCATCATGCCCCCCATCAGTCACTTCCCCTCCTCATCCTAATTTCTAATGTTTTATATATGTAGGACCATATACTATGTATTTTGTGTCTGACCTCTTTCACCCAGTGTTATGTTTGAGATTCTTTGAGATTCATTTGTATGGTTCTGCAGCGTTGTAGATATGGACTATATAATTTTAAAGAATCACTCAAGTGGATTTTTTGTTGGAGATTGGTATTGGTTAAGTGTTCTCTCTTAGTAATTATGCATAAATATCTTGAGGATATGTACCTGAACCATTTTGTGACCAACTCCAATATATTCCTTACTAATTTGTACCTAGTACTTACATAATTTATTATCTGATTATATTTCAACCTATTCCACTAACACATCTAGTAGAGGATAATCCAAGAAGCTAAAAATTAGAGTATAGATTTTTAATGACTATCACTTTTTATTCTTCCTCCCTCCTCCCTCCTTCCTTCCTTCCTTTCTTCTTTCATTTCCTCCTTCCTTCCTTTTTTTCTTCCTGTCCTTCCTTCCTTATTTTACTTTTTAATTCGAAATAATTTTAGATTTAAAGTTGCAAAAATAGTGCTGAGGGTTCTTATATGTCCTTTACCTAGCTTCTCCTAGTGTTAACATGTTATACAACCTTAGTACAATTATCAAAGTTAGAAAGTTAACATTGATAGAATACTATTAACTGCAGATTTTATTTTAATTTTACCAAGTTTTTTATTTTAATAGTTAGAGAGTTAACATTGATAGGGCCGGGCGCAGTGGCTCACGCCTGTAATCCCAGTACTT